GTTGCTATTTCTACAAGTATATAAAAAAAAATGAACATTAGACACCATTTTTTATAATTAAATTATCAAAATTTTATTATTTATAGCATATGTTAAAAAATTTAGCTATGCTCATAATTATCATATATAACACAAATTAGAAACATTATAAATTAATTATCATAATAAAAATTAAATGGAACATATATGTGGAACTCTTTAATTTTTCCAAACTAGTTAGCATAAAAAAAATAAATATCACATATACAGAGTTATCTCTACTTAACAAAAGAGACATAACTAACTAACTAATGTACATAAACTAATTAATACATGTTATTACATTGATGATAAAAAAAATGGCATAATAGACTACCAATATTGTTGTCCAAATAAAAAAAATATGCATGGATGGAATATTTTAATTAAAAAAATACTATTAGATTAAAAATACGATAATTATATAATTTGTCAATAACTATAGTACATACGTTTGTGTCAAGATGGCCAATTGGCAGGAAAGTTTTAAATTAAATTTTTGAATCAAAAGGTTGCGGGTTCGACTCCCACTCTCAACATTTGATTTTTTTATTCAAGAAAAAAAATAAAATAAGTGACATCATCATAGAGACAAAAAAAGAATAGTAAAATAAAGAAAATCCTTTTTTCTTCTTTCTTGCACACAATACACCTCTTTTTTTTTTCATGAATACATAGTGCATCATCCGCTTTTCCCTTTTCTTTTTCTTTCATGCACACACAATGCAACTTTTCTCTTTTTTTTTTTTCTTTTTAAATACCTTCATGGGGATACCAAAGTACTTAGATTTTTATTGTCGGCGACCATATCCACTGTAAATGTGTACATATATTCAGACATCTCAATACTTACATTCAAGAGCCAAGTCGAAAGAAGTCAAATGCGCCACTCAGATGAGTTTTTTTTTCAAATTCTTATAAAAAAAATATACATGAGCAAAAAGAAAAACATGTTTTCTAGATTCTTCATCATCATCAAGTTTTAAAAAAAATCAATGAACTTAATCTAAATTAGAGCATGATTATTGTCGGGTATGATGCAAATAATTAAGTTCTAATACCACTGTAAGCAAATTAATACGAATCTTAATGTAGAAACAATAAAACAATATGCTTGTTTTTCTATCCATAGAGAATGATCCTTAATTGTTAATGCTCTTGACTGCCTCTATTTTTTCCTAAATGTTACTAAAATTTCAGATAATTTTCACACTCTAAAACTTAAGTCTGTTTATGGTTTAACTCAATATAAGAGAAAAAATGATAATATATTATTTTTTGGGTATTATCTTCTTCCTTTTTTAAAATATAAATAATTTTTTCTCTCTTTTATGTTAAGAAAGAATCATGTATTTTTACAAAATATTTCTTCCTTATAGGTTCAAAAAGAGTCGTGTCTTTTTACAAATGATATTGTAGGCGTTCCTGATTTTATGCAACAATGTAGAAATCATCTACGATGTTAGGGACATCTAATGTCCTCTTCAATATCTGTGTAATGTGTATATATTATCTATAAATTAAATTATCATAATGAAAATAGAGTAAGTTGTGTACAAAAGAGTGATGAAAACACATGGGGAATGTATCCCGATGTTTATATAGGAGGATGAGGAGAAAAAAATAAATGTTCGTTGATAATTAATTTAAAGATGTCAGTGATTTGTCCTTAGAAACTAAGATTTGAGCATGGTTCAAGTTGAAGGCCTTTGTCATTTATTTTTTATAGGCATCACGTGACGATAAGCTTACCGCTACTACTTCTTCTTTAACCAGATTCTCTTTCCCTTTCCTCCTTTCTACTGTTAACATGAATCGCGCTAGTCAATGTCCATAGCTAATATGATTAGTATGAATCTATTTAATTACCAAGATTTGAGATAAATTCAAAATCTCGAAATACAATGAAAAATGAGAACCCTAAATTTATGTAAATAAGTTTATTATTTGACAACAAAACCCTAAATTAATAAAAAAATTGTAAATTCACATAAATTTGAAGGAAAGAAGGGAGTTGAACATATATTTTTCTTAAAATTTCTTAAAAAAGACTTATTTTGTCGCATATAAATTATGTCTTCATTTTTTTTTCTAATTGTGATATGTTTGAACCAATTTGTATGCATATTTTTTACCATGTCAAATATCATATAACATATCGTGAAACATCTAACGTATATTATGACTTATAAAAGGATGTCATATGTCTAAAAATTTTGTAAGCGATATATAAAATGAGTGATGTTAGATATTAATAATATAGTAACTAAATTAATATAAAATTAAAGTAGAGATTCTATACAAAAATAAATAGTACAATAACTGAATTTTTATTGTATCCATAATATGGGCATAAATTTTTCTTTTAATTAAAGACAAAGCAAAATAAATTTTCAGATGAATTTTTATTATTATGAGAAGAAATCAAACAAGTCATAAGGATTTAGGAAAATAATGGGCACACTTGTTAGTTGTAGAGAGGTGATGTCACGCAACAGCCATGAACCTGCTGGTTACGATAATATCCCACGTGCAAAAGTAAAGTTGATAAATTCTCCCTCGTTAAATCCTTCCTATGGAAGGGATGCACGCAGGAGTGCACACAACAGTAGCAGGAGGGGACGCGGCTGTTGAAAGTGAAGCAAAATACGGTGTGAGAAGAAAGAAAGAGGGTGAGAAGCTTGGGCCGGAAGCCTGAGAAAGCAGGATTATCCTAGCTTCACAGACACGGAAGGGAACTGAGGGAGGATTGTCAGCATATGTCGACGCCTGTGATCCGTCGTTAACAGTGCTGGTTGTTAATGCCTGAGAATCGTGCTAGGAATTATGTTTTCTCCATAGCTAAACTAGAAGAAGAAGGAAAGGAAAAGAGGAAGCAGGGGAGTGAAGAAGAAGAACAGTTGGGGGGAGGAAGTGGAGGATGAAAGGAGGGTTTGGCCCTGCGAAAAGGAGATGGAAAGGGCTGGCAATTGGTGTACTCTTCCTCGTTTTCCTTTCAATGCTCGTTCCCCTTGCCTTTTTGCTTGGCCTTCACAATGGCTTTCACTCTCCTGGTATCTCTCTTTACGTTCATTCCTTCTGATCTGTTCCTATTGATTATTTCTTGTTTTCTTCTGGTTTTATATTCTCCCTCCAAGTGGGACATCTTCCAATTCCTTTGCTCAATCGCAGATCTGCAACCAATAAATAATGTTCGTCAGCCTCGGATCCATGTGCCTTTTTCTTTTTCTTCTGTTTGTTGAACTATTTATTCTCAATTTTACATTTTCTCGTTCGGATTAACGATAATTGATCACTAATGTGCTCCAGATCTCTCTATATATTATTCATTTCGGGTCTACATGATATTTTTATGCAATTCAGTTATTTGCTCTATTTTTCACTTTATTGTCGGTAAATATAATATCTTCTTTTTTGGGGTTTCCTAGGACTTGGGACTGCGCAGCAAACTCCGGCTCCGGTAAGAATTACTTTTTCTGTGAATTTATTGACAGTATGCGGCAATTCCTTTTCCTCTTACTGATACACTTCTCCCTTGAATGGAATCAGAATGGTATCAGGACTCATGGTAGATACGACTCCAAAAATGTCCCAAATCAGTCTGAGGTAATGTATTATTTTTACTCTTGGATGATGCTATCATTATCTTTATCAACTTTCTTTTCTGAGAATATGAATTTTCAATAGGAGTTCATTAGTTGTAACATTGTCAACTTCCTGCTTCAACAAATACATCTATGTCTTGGCTTTAATTACTTCTACCCTATTTTTGCAGAGTGATAAGCAGAGTCATAACAATGACCCCGTGGGAAAAGTTAGGCCCACTCTTCCAAAGGTTCATTGCTTAAGTTCTTATGGTTAATACTAACTTTTGGAATGTTTTAGAGTGTAGTCTTGTTTGTTACAATATGTTTGTTATTTATGTTGGCAATTCATATGAATATCAATGCATTGGATAAATTAGTGGATTTGAGAGCTATTTAGTTTTGTGGATTACAGTATCCTCCTCCTGTTCTAAAAATATAAGGCATCTGCTTTATGAACAGCAATCCAGCAATTTTTTGATGAATTTATTTTGTGATGGGTGGGAATCTCTTGTGCCTTTTAAATTAAAAAAAATGATGCCTCTTCCTGCTTCATGGAATCAAAGCTGTCTATGCTGATGAAAACTATATATTACCAGAATTACTGCAATAGGATCTTCGTAATTTAGATCTCTTTTTACTTTTATCACCATTGAAATAAAATTTAAGCTATAACTTACTATCTACCTTACATGTAAATATTTAATCTTGCTTATACTTTGGAATGTTCTAAATTTGTTCTTTCCTTTGGAAAATCAAAATGGGATGTGTTAGTTTTTATGGCCATGTCATTTTAATCCTCTATTATCAGATTGAAAAGTACGAAGCAATTGTCTAAAGATTTTTTGGCAGTAACAAAGATTATGGCATGGAGGGAACAAATTTATTGCAAGAGGTTTAGGCAAATGTACAAGAGAAGGATTTGTTTCGATATCTTTTCAAGAACCTCAGCAACAACTTAATATACAAAAGTACTTATTACTTTTATAGGTCCAAAGATATAACTGTCAACTAGACTTGTCTCATGGGTCAAGAAGGTAAACGCTTTTGGGGACTTCTCCATGAGAGATCAGAAGTGGCTGTGTAATTCTACCACTGCACTGAAAACTATCTTGTTATGAAGAAGCACTGCCATAATATCATCTCCGACTAACTTTTCTTATGGGATACTATTGATTATGTTACCCTTTTGCAGCAACAATGCGGACAAGTCTGTCCTAAATCTGAAAAATTAGAGACTTGAACAAATATCTATTGGACATAAACTTAAGCTGAATACTAGGAGTAGTAGGAAGCTTATGGATGGTCGGGGTACTTCTACGTGACATTCTATTAGGTCATGTTTTTGTTGTTTAGTGAGCTTGGAAGGATGTTCGATGTCACTCTTTTCTAAGTTTCTGGATCTTTGCGGTATTGATAGGTGCAAAAGTCTCTTTTGGGGGATTAACTAAGGATATCAATTTGGGACCACTTGTAAGTGCATAGTGTGGCCTCCTTCTTTAGTGCGTGGCTAAGTCAAATTTGGAAGATGATAATGTTGATTATTCGCTTTTGAAGCTCAATACTACAAAGACCTTCATAGTCAAGTCCTATTTTTATCGTCTTGCAACTATAGCTCATGATTTGGATGAGTTCTCCTGGAAGCAGATTTGCAAAAGGAACTCTAACATTTCTTGTTTTCTCTGCTTGGGAGACAATTAAGAGCAAGATTCTTATGATTGACAACCTTAGGAAGATGGGTGAGTGGACGGATGCTGCTTGTGCAAGCTGAGTATCTAGATCACTTGCTCTTGTCTATATCCTATCTTTGTATTGTACCACACTTGAATTTCTAAAGCTTATAAGTGGATGATTATAAGATGGGTGGCGATTGAGTTGTATGCTTGCGAAGGCATTTATTGAGTTTGAGTTGAAGTTGATATTCCTTATTCCTTTGTATTCTTCAGGTTTTTTGGCAAGAGAGCAATAAGAAGGTTTTTGATGGGATATATTTCTCACTGGTTGGATCAAAGATCTTTGGTCTTAGGGCCACGAAGGGTAGAGGAAGAAAGGGCAAATTGAGACTAGAGGTCAACGCTTTCTCTTTGTAAGAATCCTGTTATTGAATCTACTCCCAGTGGTTAAGTAAGGGTAGTAGGATTCGACTAGCTTGATAGGTGCAAGATGAGATTTCTTAACCTTGCAATGGGGACAATCTAGAGTAGATGAAAGAATGCTCGATTAACAAGCAAGAAAGCCTGCCTGGTGCTGGAAAGTCAAAAAGAGAAGCAAAAGGAAGGAAAATAAATTCCTAATATGTGTACTGTAGTAATATGGTTCTGGTCGGGGACCCTGGTATACTGTACTAATATGTGTAGTTCCCCGTAATTCGAGTGAGATTAGCTAGCTTAATTGTTTTAGACTACTTAGTCTATGTACTCTTATTACCTATTAATACAAACAAAAAGATAGTAATTATCATATGCCGATCGAAGTACTCCTTAGTAGGCATTGGCTATCCATCACTACAGTAATTTTCTTTGTGATGGTAACTACATGATTTAACTTGATGTATTGTTGATGCAAAATAGGAATATGCTAGAATGAAAACATTTACTATTATGAGATTTTTATATAATTGTAATGTTTGTGTATTATTAAGGGTAATTATTATGAAAATTTTTCACTATTATGATTTTACTTGAGTTGTTCAAGTTGCAATCATTGTCACAAGTCAATAATATTGCTGGAACCTCGACAATAGGAGGATCTTATGACTACAGCTCTTCGTAAATTTACCACGTATGAAAATGATTTATTTGATACTATGGGTGACTAGTTATGTCAGGACTATTTTGTTTTTGTAGGTTGGCTTGGTTCCTTGCTCTTTCCTTATGCAATTTTACTATATGGGCCTAGTAGGGTTGATTGGCGGATGCTTCCAGTTTTCCGAATTTGTATCAAATTTTTTCTTTCTCATCATCTACTGTTATTATAATGTCATCAATGTATATTAGAAGAGTTGTAACTTGCCTTGTTTATGAATGTTTGATGAATAGAGTATGGTCTTCTTGAGTCTACTTAAATCCTACATCTATCATCATCCTTATGAATCTGCCAAATCATGCTCTTGGCAATTACTTGAGTTCTTACAGAGTTTTTTTTAGTTTACATATGGAATTAGCTCTTCTCTGTCTTGGAGTGTGGCTGTCACTAGGAATTTGAAAGACTGGGAGGTTGAAGAATAAAAAAAACTTCTTCAAACCCTTGCTAACGTCAAAATGGGTACTAAAACTGATAAATTAAGGTGGAATTTAAGCAAAAATAACTCTTTTACTGTTAAATCTCTATATAAAAACTTGATGGACAGAAATCACTCTACTGCTGTTTTTTCTTACAAAATCATTTGGAATAGTTCCGTTCCACCCAGAATTTCGGTGTTTGCTTGGGAAGCAGCTATGGATTCTATTCTCATGCTTGACAACCTTATGAGAAGAGGTTTTATGTTGGCTAACTGGTGTGCATTATGCAAGCAGAATATGGAATCTTGCAGGTGAATTTTGTGGTGGATTCTGAAAGTTTTATTATGGTAATGGTGGAGAGTCATCCGCAGTTCACACTTGGGCAAAGACCCAATAGACCAGCAGAAGGCCAAACTCCTCTAAAGCTGCAGACTGCAAAAAAATGTCTGTTCTCTAAAAAAAAGTCTGAGAGATACAGATGAAGAAACTAATGGCAAGGAATTAAAGAGCTCCAATTAGTAAGGAAATCTCATATTCCAGTTGCACAGAATAGTTCTTAGAGTTGAGTGACTTCAACTGATATGTGGCAAAGGGTTGTGTGACAAAGATGGTAGGGTAAAGTCTATTAAAAATTTCGTATCATTATCTCCCAATATGACTCTCCTTGAAGATAAGGTTGAGTGAAATAGGATCTTGTCCAACAAATGTAACATTGTAGACATATAAGTTTTTGAGGAATGATGGTAACATTTGTACCATTTTTGAGGAGTAGCACCCCACAAATGTACATTTTAGACATCTGGGATCAAGTTTTTCTCTTTGATGAGAATGAATATGAACGAAAACGACATACACAAATATTTGATGTCTGAAATGGTTTGTGACACTTACTATTAAGTAAAATTTTTTGAAGTGTTTCTAGAAAAATTTTGAAGTTAAGAATTCTGGTGGATAGACATTTAATAATGTAAGTGACAGTAAGGATAGCTTTGCCTAATATTATTTTGAACACTGTTTTGGATAGAAAGGCTCGGTGGTGGTTAAAATGTTACTATTCTTGTGTTCATTACTTTGTCTTGTTGTGGAGTGTAGACATAGGATAATTCATGAAAAATTCCTTCTTGACGGAAGAATGATGAAAGTGTGATTAGAAAGATTTTTGGTTTGTTGTTGATGCGAAATCTCTTTATGGCAGTTAGAATTGAGTTTTTATCATGTTGTAGAACTACATATGATATGATTAACGTCAAATTTGGATTTGAGAAAAAGTAATAAGGTGATTCTAATGCAATCATCAATAAATAATACAAACCATTGAGTTCAGAAAGATTAAGTATGAGGGTTAGTCCCTAAATATCACTGTGAATTAATGAAATAAAGTTAAAAATTTTTTATTACTAATGAGAAATGTTATACGCATGTTTTGCAAACTCACAAATATTATCATGTAAATTTTAATATTTTGAATTTTTAAACAATTAAGAAAACATAACCTTTAAGATAGATAAGGATGAGTGCCCAAGTCTCTTATGGTGGAGTCAAATCGTGTGGATGAGATCCGTAGAAATGGGATAGAAGGCTCCTCTATGTGCATCCAAATAGTAGAGTCCATTTTTACCTTCAACACGTTCAATCATCTTTCCCAAATTCTAATATTGAAAGTTATAGTGAGAAAAGTCAAATGTTACTTTTATGGTTCAAGTCTTATGATAACTTATTGATTCACACAAGATCAATATATAATTTGGGAACATGTAATACATTTTTTAGAATAAAAGTAGGACTAATCTTAATGTTAACATTGACTGTTATAATATTGATGGAACCATCTGCACCGATAATCTTCATAGTGCTTGGACATAGAACATATGTACGAAAATATTGAGAAGTATTGATTATATAATTTTTGACTCCTAACTCTATAATATAAGAATTTTCAAAGGGTTTATTTGAGACATTTAAATCGTGTAGAAAGGAAAATATACATAAATGTTTTGTTACACTTGCATTTATGAACTTCTAAAGGTCCT